GATCTCACGCCGGAAAGTTTTGGGGTGTCTTAGCTCTAAGTCCTCCACCGCCAAATGGGGGACTGTAGTCAATGCCGTACGAATAGGCGTTGACCTTAGGTAAGCTTGTGCTTACTTTGGACTGTACTCTCCTCATCCTCTGGGGGAGGTAGAGAGTGGGGGGGGGCGCATGGCCTCTATTTTTCAGGGGGGGTTCGGGCAGGTTGGGGGTCGGGTCTATGCTTACTGCATTCTGGAATCGTCCCCTCACTATAGCTACTGTGGATTTTCAGTATACAGCTATCCTTACTCAACGCGTCTATGTGTCCGGCACTATCCAACATCACTCACCTCGTGAGGTTTCAGTATGCAGCTTTCGTCACTCAATGCGTCGATGTGTCCGGCAGTCGCAAACGTCACTCAACCCGTTAGGTATCAATATGCAGCTATCCTCACTGAAAGCGTCTATGTGTCCGGCACTATCCAACATCACTCACCTCGTGAGGTTTCAGTATGCAGCTTTCGTCACTCAATGCGTCGATGTGTCCGGCAGTCGCAAACGTCACTCAACCCGTTAGGTATCAATATGCAGCTATCCTCACTGAAAGCGTCTATGTGTCCGGCACTATCCAACATCACTCACCTCGTGAGGTTTCAGTATGTAGCTATCCCCACGCAGCGCGTCTATGTGTCTGGCATACTCACAAAGCAATCCATCTGTGAGGTTTCAGTATGCAGCTTTCGTCACTCAATGCGTCGATGTGTCCGGCAGTCGCAAACGTCACTCAACCCGTTAGGTATCAATATGCAGCTATCCTCACTGAAAGCGTCTATGTGTCCGGCACTATCCAACATCACTCACCTCGTGAGGTTTCAGTATGTAGCTATCCCCACGCAGCGCGTCTATGTGTCTGGCATACTCACAAAGCAATCCATCTGTGAGGTTTCAGTATGCAGCTATATTCACTCTACACGTCTATGTGTCCGGCAATCTCAAATGAAAATCACCTGTGAGGTTTCAGTATATGTCTTTCCTCACTCAAAACGTCTATGTGTCCGGCACTATCCAACATCACTCACCTCGTGAGGTTTCAGTATGTAGCTATCCCCACGCAGCGCGTCTATGTGTCTGGCATACTCACAAAGCAATCCATCTGTGAGGTTTCAGTATGCAGCCATCCCCACTCAACGCGTCTATGTGTCTGGCAAACTCAAAAACCAATCCATCTGTGAGGTTTCAGTATGCAGCCATCCCCACTCAACGCGTCTATGTGTCTGGCAAACTAAAAAAAACAATCCATCGGTGAGGTTTCAGTATGCAGCTATCCCTACTTAACGCGTCTATGTGTCTGGCAAACTCAAAAACCAATGCATCTGTGAGGTTTCAGTATGCAGCTATCCTCACTCAACACGTCTATGTGTCCGGCAATCTCCATCACAAATCACCTGTGAGGTCCAGTATGTGTCTATCCTCAATCAACGCGTCTAGGTGTCCGGCACTTCAACATCACTCAACCCGTGGGGTTTCAGCATGCAGCTATCCCCACTCAACCCGTCCATGTGTCTGGCAATCTCAAACTTCACTCAACCCTTGGGGTTTCAGTATACAGCTACCCTCGACACGTCAATGTGTCCGGCAATCTCCTACATCACTCAACCTGTGAGGTTTCCGTAAACTATCCTCACTCCACTCATCCACGCGTCACGCGTCTTTGANCCATGTGTCTGGCAATCTCAAACTTCACTCAACCCTTGGGGTTTCAGTATACAGCTACCCTCGACACGTCAATGTGTCCGGCAATCTCCTACATCACTCAACC